GGTGGGCAGGGAGCGCGGCTGTCTGCTGCCTGCCACGACTTCTGCACCGGAGACGAAGAACAGCAAGAAAAGGGTCTGCGGGTGGTGGGAACGGGCGCCCACCATGGCAACGCAGGTATCACTGACCAACACCGTGCGGCCAGCGTCTGAACCTGTAATCACACTCACCCCTGATCAGGGCTCTTCAAGGGTCTTGCAGGCTCCAGGCTTCCTCTTCTGGGTTTTTTGACAGGCATTTGCTCACCGGCAGACACAGGCATTTCTGCAGGTTTTGGTGAGGGGTCAGACTCTGGCATTGCAAGGCACAGGGGTGACTCCAGGCCTGGAGAGCAAAAGAGCATGGTAACTTTGGTCAAGAGAAAAAATTTTCTTGGAAAGGAAACATACGTGTGGCTGGCTTGTATGTTTTTCAGAAGCAGTTCATGTTCCTCGCAAGCCTGGTGGGTTGAGCACACTGAGACCAATACACGTGCCCGGGTTTGTCGAGAAAAGGCTCGTTTCCCTCACTTCACCTGCCAGAATCACCCCTGGAGAGATGCTCTATGCCCTGCTGTCTTAGGATTTCTGCTTGACACAGGTGGTTCAGGAGGAGAGGCATTCTTGGCTGTCCCACAGTTACCTGGCTTGGCTTTGGGCAAGACACTTTCTCGCTGCCTTTGTTTCACAAGCTGAAATTACAGTATCAGAATAGGCGTTGTGTGTTCAGAGTGCCATCAAACACCGGTTTCTGCAGGGTCTAAGCGAAGTGTTGGCCAAAGCCCGGCTGGCCGGTTTGCTCCTGCGATTCTGCTGCGGCCAGGGCGGGAAGGAGAGGTGCCCCCAGCATCGCCCCACCAACTGCGAGCGATGGAGCGCAAGCCAGTGGTGTTGTGATGAGCCGACGGATTTCTGCAGTCATTTAAAAATGGCAGTAAGTACCTCAGTGATTGCAGCCATTCATGAATGAAAGCATTCTGTACACATGTTGGTTCACAACTGAGAGTGGTGACAGAAGAGGTTAATAAGACACTTAAATCGTCTTTTTTTTTCCTCACAATATGTTTAACATTTTTTTTCTAAGAGAAATTTTACTATTTGACAAGAGACAAAAAAATACTACAGACTTGAAATCCCATCTATATGTTCCCGTTAAGCTTCATGAAAGAAATGCCTGACGTATTTTGATGCTGACGAAGCGTAGATGAATTAAAGCAGTGTTCCCACTCTGTCCTTTCTAATGCTAATGTTTAATTCTAGCGTATTTATAGAAAAACACTGCTTATACACCAGGGCCACAGAAGAAAGCTCTGCAGCACCTACTGAAGCGAGGTGAACTCTGCTCGTAGCAAGCACTGATTATACGTTTGCAGGCTCTGAATGAGGTGCGCTGTTCTACTAGCTGCCAGCCTTCTGCGCTCCTACAGCCACAGCAGCTTGACAGAACAAAAACAGCACGCGTCGCCCCTGGGTTGGGTGCGTATTTTCAGCACAGGCTACAAAAACAGAAGAATAATAAAAAATATAATACCTACTCCTCCACTCCCTCAGACCCAAACCTCTAAAAGCTATGTGACAAAACCTGTGTGCAGGGGCCTGTATTTCAAACAGGCTTTGAACTAGATAATTATTTGCCACTTAATCCTAAATGAATACAGTTGCTATTTTTGCAAGCACGTCACACTGGTGGGAGTGTTTGTTGATGAATTATCAGTGAGATATGATTTTATTCCTACGAATAAATATAACCTGGTGTCTGTACAGATCTGTACACACACATAAGTCATCTCCAAACTGCAGGAGTATGCTGTATATCTGAAGTTCTCAAGAGGGAATGAACACCTGGGGATAAAAAGGATTGCAGGTCCTTATTTGTGCCTGCTCTTAATAGAGAGGGTGATGCACTTCTTGCTCATAATACAGAGGGTGATGCACTTCTTGGTACACCTCAACAAGAGCAAGCTGTCTGGGGCACCGGGCATGGACCAGCAGGTTGTGGGATCTCGGCTCTTTGACTCCAGCTGGGGTTTTCAAGAAGACTTGGTGCATCCAAGCACAACCATGTCAGTGCATCAGTCAAGAGAAAAGGCAAAATTTTCCTTAGGTGATGGCTACCCTGGTGACTCTGAACCCCCTCTTTAAGGGAGGAAGATTAAATCCTTGCTCTGGGTGTCTGTGATTGAATGAAAATAAGTTTCTGAACTACAAAGGAAAGCTTGAAAACATGACTCAAGGCATCTTGTACCTCCAAAAGCAAGAAGACAAAGAGGAATGAACTTTAAAACCCGCCAATTTAAAGCATTTATATGCCTATCACTGCCCTGAGAACCAGGGATGAGCAACACAGGGTGGTCTCTGGCAGGAGCAGCAGGCTGTTGGTGAGATGTCCCAGGGGCTCGTTGCAACAAGACCTTCGCTGAGGGGTTTCAGCAGAGGTCAGACGGCACTGCCTGCTGTGCCCTGCCAAGGGAGGCTCAAACCCAGAAACCCTGTTGCTCTTTTCTCCCACCCGAGTGCTTCACGGGGTGACTTTGAAAATTACAAGTTTATCTAGAATGTGTAAATCTGTGCAATTTATTTATACGCCAATATTATCACAAAAAAGGATGTAAATAAGTCTTTTAAACAGGTATAGGATAGGTTAAGTGTATTGCGAGGAAAAGTGGGGAATTCGACTGCCCTTTCTTTTCTCTGCTCTTTCTCCCCGCAGCCTCGGAGGGGCCGGGCGGGGGGACCCCCAGCACCTAATTCACTCTGCCCCGGGAAAACCGGTGAAGAGCAAACTCCATTGCACAAATCAATGCCGGAAAGATGTCGAGAGACTCATTTCAGGATTTTGAAATCCACCGAAATCCTAAAACGAGGAGGATTTTGAAAACGCAAACGGAGAAAATATTTTTTTTTCCTCCCAAGCGCCACCGAACTCTTTAAAAGTAAAGGCAGAGGAGGCAGGCAGGAAATCCGCGTTCGGAATTTGTTCGGGGAGCACCCATTAAACGCTTCAGTTCTTGAAGCACCGTGTTTTCCGCAGAAAC